CCCCCCCCCCCCCCCCCCGCCTGCCTTCCGTGGGTGGCCCAGTGCAGCACCCCTGTTGGTCCTCGTGCCATCCCTGCCCCGCCCCCCGCCAGATCCCTGCCCCGCCCCCTGCCAGCCCCTGCCCTCCACCCCTCCCGGAGCCTCTTCTAGGTCCAGGCCAGCAAGGCTGCCCCGGGGTCCTCCTGGTGGCTCAGCCTGCAGCCCCACCTGCCCAGCCGGTTCTCCTTTCTCAGAGCGGGCAGACAGAGGGGGGCGGCGGCCCGGCGTCTGTCCCCGGGCCTCCTGGAAACAGGGGTCCCCGTTGAGGACAGAACGGGGAGGGGAGCGGGCGCTGCGAGGCTGGGGCAGTGAGCGCCGCCCCCCCCCCCCCCCCCCGTGCCTGTCCAGGCTGCAGGTGCCCTGTGACAGCACCGAGTCGGAGATGAACCACCTGTACCCGGCCTTCGCCCAGCCCGGCCGCGAGTGCTTCCTGCAGAAGGAGCCGCTGCTGTTCAGCTGCGCCGGCTCCAGCACCAAGTACCACCGGCTCTGTCCCTGCCGAGACTTCCGCAAGGGCCAGGTGGCCCTGTGCCAGGACTGTCTGTGAGGGCACCCGCCCATCTGGCCCTCCCTGCCGCAGGAGAAAGCACCAGCAGATTCCCAGCTCCAGCGACCCGCCCGCCCCTCGACGCCCCCAGACTGGAGCTTCCTTCCTTGGCCAGGAAGTGTACGCGGGGAGGGGGGGGCAGCTTGTCCAGGTGGCGGGGGGGGCCCGCCCCAGGCAGCCTCCTCGTCCTCATCCGGGGGCTCGTGACAGCGTGGTGGCCAAGCAGAGGGCCCCGCTGGCAGGAGCAGGGGGTCGGGGCCCCTCGCTTTGTGCAGGGCCCATGTTGGACCAGATGGAGAGAGGGCCCTGGTCCTTCTGGGCCCACAATGGGGCCTTAGGATGTATGGGGAGGGAGCAGGGGCTGTACTTGCCCGATGACCCACTGAAGGGTCCAGAGAGTGATGTGTGAGGGGTCAGTCTTGTCCCTTTGTGGTCAAGAGGGACAAGGGACGGGGGGGGGGGGGAAGGCCAGGCTGGGGGACCCTGCTCATGCCTCCTCTCAGCCCCATCCCGCCTGCCTTTGCAACGCCCCCCCACCATTCTATACTTGGGGGGCACAGTGGGAGTGCGGGGGCCGCCTAGACCCTGGGTTGAACCGTCTCTCTCTCCCGCTTGCTCGAGCTCTCTCCACTTCGGGCTTCTGCCCAAACTCATCTTGGCATGACTGAGACTCCAGGCCATGGACTTGTCCCCAGAGCCTCAGTTCCCGGCCCAGCAGGCTCTGGGACCCCCACCCCTTAGCATCACTTGTAGGCAAAGGCTGGGGACGGAGCTGTAGCCCATGGTACGTCCAGCCTAGTCCCTGGCTTCCCAGGCCCACTAGCCCCCAGGTAGCCCCCCCCCCCCCCCCAGTGCTGCGTGTCCCTATCTCCAGCCTCCTCTAGCCTCCAACCGCCTCTGGACCCAAGCATCATCTCTGTGTGGCATGCCTGCCCCGGCCCCAGGACACCCCCTCCTCCTCCTCCCCAGGCCCAGAGCCCTGCCCGAATAAACAGGTCAGGCCTCCAGAGACACTGCCACCCCAGCCCCTTTTATAATCCCACCCCCCCCCCCCCCCCCCCCCCCCAGCCAGGCCTGACCCTCCACCCTGCCAGGGAGGCAGCCCAGGGCCCTGAGAGCCGGGAGAGGGGAGCGAGCCAGCGTGGGGCCGAGGTGGGGTGCCTCCCAATGCCAGACCCCTCTCTGGGCCTGGGTGGCCCCTGCAGCCGCAGAAACTCAGTGGTCGCCAAGGACCTGGCCCGTCAGGGAAAAGCAATAGAGACACTCTTTTCTCTCTCTCTCTTTTTTAAAGATTTATTTCTTGAAATAAATATTTTATTGGGATGTGAGGTGCAGAGAGCAGTGTGCTGTTTCTTATCTTTTCCTGGGCCGGCCAGGGCGTGGCCGTGGGGGGAGGTGGCGCGGATATCCTGGGGCCCTGGGGCCCTGCTGCATGTGTCTCTTGGAGCACACAGGGTGCTTGGGGCTAGAGATTCGGTGCTCCCTGGGTCAGGCTGCCCAAGGGAAGTCCCTGCGGGTGCCCCACACCATGACTCCAGGGACCCCGCTCAACAAGCAGGGCTGTACCCGGTTCTGTTCACCTCAGGCTGGCCCCCGCGAGGTCAGAGAGCACAAATAAATGTTGATAAAAGCCTGAGTCAGATCATGACAAATACTGGCTAATACTGGCCATGCTGTACTTCAGACACAGGGCTGACGGTCGGACACACAACTTGTCATTTTTTTAAATTTTTAATTAATTTACTTTTTAAGTTTTTTTAATGTTTATCTTTGAGGGAGAGAAAGAGACAGAGTGTGAGCAGAGGAGGGGCAGAGAGAGGGGGAGACACAGAATCCGAAGCAGGCTCCAGGCTCCGAGCTGTCAGCACAGAGCCCGACGTGGGGCTCGAACTTACAAACCGCGAGATCATGGCCTGAGCCGAAGCCGGACGCTTAGCCGACTGAGCCCCCCAGGGGCCCCTCTACTTACTTTTAATTGATTTTTAATTTGCAATTTCTTGATGGCCTGGGATGTGGGGGCATCTTTTCGTATGCTTACTCCCCATCTGTGATCTTCTCTGTGAGGGGTCTCTTCAGGTCTCCTGCCCAGTTTGCAATCAGTTCTTTGTTTCTTACTGTTGGGTTTTAAGAATTCTTTGTACAGGAGCCTACTTCCGAATGCTCTCAAGCTTTGAGCTCAGGCGGGGTGGGGCGGGCAGAGAGTGTGGGGCGCTGGCCAGCGGGAAGGGGAGAAGGGGACCCTGGGAAGAGCCTGCAGGCCAGATGTAGGACCAGATGCCGGGGTGGGGGAGGCTGTGAGTTCTACGGCCCTTCCCCCCTGGACCGGTGCCCGGCCCCCCTCCTCAGCGCCCACTGGACAGGGGAGGAAGTAACGGGCCCAGGCCGGCCTCTCCACCACCCCCCCCCCGTAAGGTGACGTCATCCTCCCCGCTGACAGGTGAGGAAACCAGTCTCCGATGACGCCCCTCCCCAGCCTTTGGAATCACCGGGGGAGCGCCCGCCACCCCCACGTCCAGGCTGCATCCAGACCAGTGAAATCCAGTCTCTGAGCAGGGCCTGGCATCCGAAGTTTGAAAAAGCTCCCCTCCGGGTGTTTGTACCGAGCATCTGACGTGAACCCCTGGGCGGGGTAGCTCCTTTCTGCAACCCCACCTCCCGGCTCTGCTCCCACAGGGTCGATGGGGTCGAGGACCGACCCTCGGGAGGCCTCACTTGCCCTGCCCCTCCCTCCCGTCTCCACAGCCCAGGGCCCGAGGGGGTGTGGCCAATGAACCTGGGAAGGAAGAAGGAGGAGGCTGGGGCCAGCCTAGAGCAAAGAAGGCACAAGGGCCCCAGCTGACTCCAAGACTTGAGTCCCAAGTTCGAGGGCAGGAGAGAACCCTGGGAGGCTGTTGACAAGCACCCCTCCCCAGGACTGGGAGGCAGCGGAGGGGGCAGGGGGCCCTGCGGTCTCTGCAGAGGCCTGGGAGGCATTGCCGGTTCGGTTTCTTGCAGCCGGAACCTGGTGGGCTCAGCTTCTCTGCGTCCCGGCACCGCAGCTGACCGCTTTCCCTTTGCGATGCCAGGGGCCCCTCAGAACCCCAACCTGTGGCTGTGGGACCCCCCCCAACTCTGTGCTCTGGCTCCTCCTGCACGAAGTACGGGAAATAGGACACCCAGGGGGGTTGAGGAGGAAACAAGGTCGGGCAGGTCCGGGCCCGGGTACGAGGAGGGAGGTGAAACAGGAATGGGCAGTAGGGGGGCTTCTGGGCTTGAGGCTCAGGACTGCCTCCAGGTGCTCCAGGAGCAAGGGGCTCATCGCCTCTTCCTGGCAGCCGAGGGCCCTGAGGCTCCCGACCGCCACTGCTGCCCAGAAGCGATGCCACATATACTGACCTCAAGCCTGGAGGGTCTTCTCCAGGCCACAGCTGCCGGGGGGGGGGGG